TCGGGGTAGGCATGAGTTGATATTGATGCTCTGGAGGGCTATCAGAGAACAGAAGGGTCTTGATTCACATGGAGTGTATAACGGACTGTGGGGTGTGGGTGAAGGGCTTGAGTTGCATGGGTTGGTATGGATGTAGCATGAGTGAAAGTGTGAGGGGTGAGGATTTGAGGGCTGTTTTATTGTTTTTTTTAGTAACCCTTTACAGTGCCAGAGTGCTAAGATAGCACCCCCCACTCTCCAAGCCCCCGAACAACACCATTCACACTCCCCCCAAAACCCACCTCCACATCTGACAGCCTCCGCACTCATGCTGGGTTGTCTGGCCTGAATCTCAGAGAATTCCACTACTCTGGAATAAAACCTCAACCTTTGAGGCACTTTCTCCCAGGTTGGGTTTGAGGAGTGGGGATAATGTGCCAATTTCCCAAAATGCCTGGGGCTCCGTGTTCTGGATTTTCCAGCCCCAAGAAGCACGTTCTCTGCTTCAGTCCCATAAGATTTTTATTTGAAAAGGAGAGAGGATGCAAGAGAGCACAGAGGGAGAAAACAAAGACTTTGCCTGGAGGCAGGAGCTGGGTACAGTTGTAGCACTGAAGCAGGTTAAAGAGATAATGATTAGTGAGGCTCGAGATAAATTTAATGACAATAGAATCATAGAATCTCACAGCACAGAAGCAGGTATGTGCTGTTCCACTGAAACAGCTATCAAAGCAATCCTATCCCTTCACATGTATCTTCCCATATAATTTTCAAGTATTTCTTTATTTAGTTTATTCAATCACAGGGTGTGGATATTGCTGGCTGTATTCCCATCCCTAATTGCCCTCAAGAAGTTGGTGGTGAGCTGCCTTCGTGAACCATTGCAGTCCATAAGGAGGAAATTCCAGGATTTTGTCCCAGTGACAGTGAAGGACAGCAATATATTTCCACGTCAGGAATGGATTGGAAGGGAGCTTTCAGTGGGTGGTGTTCCCACGTATCTACTTCCACCGTCTTTCCACATGGACGTGATCGTGAGTTTGGAAAGTGCTGTTGAGGGAGCCTTGGTGAATTTCTGTAGTGCACTTTGCAAATGGTACACACTGCTGCTACTGAGCATCATCGGTGGTGGAGGCAGTGGATGTGGTACCAATCAAGCAGGCTAAGTTGTCCTCGATGATGTCAAGCTTCTTGAGTGTTGTTGGAGCTGCACTCATCCAGGCAAGTGGGGAGCATTCTATCACACTCCTGACTTGTGCCTTGCAGATGTTCGACAGATTTTGGGGAGTCAGGAGATGAGTTATTCGCTGCATGATTCCAAGCTCTTGACCTGCTCCTACCCAATTCATTTTGGAAATTTATTATTGAAGTCGGCTGCAGCTCAGGCAGCACACTTTAGAACATAACAAAGAAAAAACTTCTCCTCCTCTGCCAAACACTGTCCTCTGATTCCTGACCTTTGGCAGTTTCCTCTTCAAATCCCTTCTGAGCACCTCTATAAAATCCACTCTTAACTTCTCTGATCTAAACAAAAAAAACTCATCTTATCCAGTCACTCCATGTACCAGAGGTCTCTCATTCCCAGTACCATCCTCAAAGATCCTTTCTGCACCCTCTCCAAAGCCTTGAGGTGCTTCCTAACCTGTGGTAATATAAAACAAACAAATTGCTGAAGATCTTAAACAAATAAAAACTGAAATTGCTGGAGAAAACTCAGCAGGCCTGGCAGCATCTGTAGAGAGAAATCAATGTTTCAAATCCAGTGACCCTTCTTCAGAACTGGTTCAGATGCTGCCAGACCTGCTGAGTTTCTCCAGCAATTTCTGTTTTTGTTCCTAATCTGTGGTGCCTGAACATTGGAATCTTGACTTTAGATGGTGGAGGAGCAGGTACTAAACTAGGTCAGACTGGACAGCAGTGATGGGTGAGTAGGATCACACAAATCCCTTTCAAAGGAAGTCAAGCTGACTTTGTGCAATGTCTCTTTTCCTCCTTTATCTCTCTCTTTCTCCCTGTCTTTCCTCCTATTTTGGGGGTGTGGGGATTAATTCATCTACAGACAGATAAAGAAGTGCAAAGTTGTCAGGGCAAGTCTCAAAACATATTTTTAAAAAACAGAAGAACTGTGAATGCTGTAAATCAGAAACAAAAACAGAAATAGCTGGAAAAGCTCAACAGGTCTGGCAGCATCTGTGGAGAGAAATCAGAGTTAATGTTTCAGGTCGAGTGACCCTTCCTCAGAACCCTTTTGAGGAAAGGTCACTCGACCCGAAACGCTAACTCTGATTTCTCTAAAAATATATATTTTTAATCAACCAGTGAGACATATTATGACAATTCTCTGTGGTAGGTGGGACTTGAACCTGGACCTTCTGGTGCAGAGATAGAGTATTATCATAAATAAACATAAATAATTACAAATACCATAGGCCTCAAGACCTTAGGTCAAGTCTGAAGCCTGAACCCTGGGAGAAAGGGCTGTGTTACAGTATGTAACCACTGGTTTGTGTTGGATTCTGGGAGCTAGTCCAGCCAGTGGTGAGATAATCCACCTGGAATAAGCATCACAGACTCAGGGGAAGCAAAAAGCTGTAGTTGCTGCTCCTGTTTGCTGTTGGTAAAGCTTATCGTTCAGTAGATGTGAACGGCCTGTTCACAGCATTGGCCAATCTTGATGTTCAAAAAGAACAAAAGAGAAGTACAGCATAGGAACAGGGCCTTTGGCCCTCCAAGCCTGTGTGATCATCTTGCCCTCATTAATCAAAAAAGCAAATCTTCTGCCCTCATCATAGAATCCCTACAGAGTGGAAACAGGCCCTTCAGCCCAACAAGTCCACATTGAACCTCAGATCATCCCAACCAGACCCATCCCCCTACAATCCACCTCATCTACACATCCCTGAACACCATAGGGCAATTTAGCATGGTCTATCCACCTAGCCTGCACATCTTTGGACTGTGGGAGGAAACCGGAGCACCCAAAGGAAACCCACACAGACACAGGGAGAATGTGCAAACTCCACACAGACAATTGCCTGAAGGTGGAATCGAACCCGGGCCCCTGGCATTGTGAGGCAGCAGTGTTAACCACTGAGCCACCGTGCCGCCCTTTATTCTCTGAAGTCTCTCCCTATTCACGTAACCATCAAGACGCCTCTTAAATGGCACCAATGTGCCCGCTTCCATCACATCTTCTGGCAGTGTGTTCCAGGCTCCAACCACACTCTGCGTGAAAAACTTCCCTTGCACATCTCCCTTAAATTTTCCCCCTTTCACCATGAACCTGTGCCCCATTGTAATTGAAACTTCAATCCTTGAAAAAAGCCTCTGACTATCCACCCTACCTATGTCTCTCATAATTCTGTAGACCTCTCGGCCACCATCTTTCTAGTGAAAACAATCCTAGTCTTTTTAACTTTTCCTCATAGCCAAAACCCTACAGACCAGGCAACATCCAGGCAAACCTTCTGTGTACTCTCTCCAAAGCATCCTTTCCTCCTAATGTCTTTGACTCTCCCACAGTCAAACTGGTGCTTTCTGTCTGAAAGAATAAGTGTGACCAATGAAGCCAAAGGAGGAGGGAATGATGACTGAGTGATTATCAGTGACATAAAGTATAAAAGCAGGACCAGGCCACTCGGTCCTTTGAGGCTAGTCCACCATTCAATAAGATTACGGCTGATCTGATTCTGGCCTTAATTCCCCTCTAACAATTGACAGTTTTGTAGCTCAAACATCTATCTAACTTAGCCTTGAATATAGTCTCCATTGCTCTCTGAGGGGGAAAATTCTGAAATTTAACACCCTGTGAGATATTGTTCCTCATCGTTAAATAGGAAATCCCCTATTTTGAAAACATGTCCCTCAGGGTGTTAGATTCCCCCACAAGGGGAGCTTGCAGGTGCTCCAAATTTAACAGCAGACTGTGATTTAGTTTGTAATTCTGTTTCCCAGTCGTTGCTGGTCACAGTGAACACTGACAGCCTGTAGGGGTCATAGGTCACAGCCAGTATCAATGAGGGGTTGAGTGATCAGGAGTGGGGCCTGGGACAGACTCGGAGGAATGGCAGGAATGGAGTTGGTCAGATTGGGATGGCGCTGCAGTGGAGGTGTGTGGAGTGAGGTGGTGTTTGGGGGAGATGGAAACACCCTTGCTCTTGGCCCTCAAACAGTGTGCTAAAAAGCACTTAACTGATAGATCCAACCCTGAGGACCTCCCTCCAGCTGCAGGGTTCCCCTGACAATCACCTAGTGGTATTCCCGAGCCAATTGCCTAGTGGTATTACTGTTAGACTTTTAATCCAGAAACTCAGCTTTTGTTCTGGGGACCCAGGTTCAAATCCTGCCGTGGCAGATGGTGGAATTTGAATTCAATATAGAATCTGGAATTAAGAGTCTAATGACGACCATTGTCAATTTTGGAAAAACCCATCTGGTTCATTAATGTCCTTTAGTGAGGGAAACTGCCATCTTGACCTGGTCTGGCCTACACGTCACTCTAGACCCATGGCAATGTGGTTGACTCTTAACTGCCTTCTGGGCATTTATGGATGGGCTATAAATGCTAGAGATGCCTACATCCCATGAGTAAATAAAAAAAAACAGCCAGCAAGCCCGTGCACATGACAAAGGGAACAAATGACATTCAACTCGAGGCCTTTGGCCTCCTTGAAACACTTGAAAGACCATCTTGCCACCTTGGAGTGCAAGTCCCACAACTCGTCCCCATGACAATCAGAAGTGTGTGGATTAGGGAAATGTTGCCTTTCATCCTTATTTTTAAATTTCCCTGAACACATCCCATGGAGTTAAAATTCCTCACAAGCCAATCTCACTGAACCAGTCAGCACTCCATGGGTTAACATCTCTTGCAAATTGAGGAAGAGCACAGAGTTAAGTCTGCTGGCCAGCTGTGGAACCTAAACTCCCACACCCCACTTTCAAACTATTCACTACACAAAGAAAGTTGCGATATACAGTAAGACTTTGCCAAAGTTTCAAAAAAAAACAAGCACACTCACCTTTTCCTTTTCCTGATGTATAGAACCTAAATTCAAGGAAAGATTACTCATTAGTGTCAATATAGCAACGAAAAGGAAAGAGCAAAAATTCAATACTGAGCAGTGATAAGGAAATTGTAACCGCAGAAACAGAGGGTGTATCGGAAGTGGGAGCTAAACAGTGGAAATCTGAAATAGAAACAGAAAATGCCGGGAGAACTCAGCAGGTATATCACTCTTTATAAAGATAAAAGACAGAATGGTGGTTAAGGTGGGGAGCTGTCATTAATTTCTCATTCAAACATTGTGTGCTGGGTGTAAAACAGTCTTAACAATAAGCAGTTAAGTCAGAGTCACAGAGATATCATCGTGGCCATTCAGCCAATCGAGTCAATACTGGGCTCTGTCAAGCAATCCAAACAGTCCCATGGTCTTGCTCTATCCCTTAGCTCTGATAATTTATTTCCTTCAAATCCTAATCTGATTTCCTTTTGAAATCATTCATCATCCACTTCAGCCAATAGGTCTCAGGTCACTACCAGTCACTGCATAAAATAGTTCTTTTTCACACCTTTCTGCATCTTGTGCCTAAAATCTTTAATCTGCGTCTCATAGTCTTTGTACCACTAACTAACAGTCAGCAACATTTTTATTTAATACCTAAACCTATCGTTGTCTGTACACCTGGATCAAATCTTCCTCCAGTCTCCTTTACCCAAGCAGAACAACCCCACGCTTCTCCAACCTCAGAGATAGTAGGAACTGCCGATGCTGGAGAATCTGAGATAACAAGGTGTAGAGCTGGATGAACACAGCAGGCCAAGCAGCATCAGAGGAGCAGGAAAACTGATGTTTCGGGTCTGGACCCTTCTTCAGAAGGATTTTTAAATTCTCCTTCTTCCATTTCTGAAGAAAAGTCCAGACCCGAAAAGTCAACTTTCCTGCTCCTCTGATGTTGCTTGGCCTGCTGTGTTCATCCAGCTTCTCCAACCTCACCTTGTGAAAATTCCTCATTCCTGGAACCATTCTGGCAAATCCCCTCTGCTCCTTGTCAAGGACCCTCACATCTTTCCTAAAGGGTGGTGAGCAGAACTGGACGCAATACTCTAATTGTGGCCTAAGCAGAATTTTATAAAAGTTTAGCAAATCTTCCCTGCCTGTGTTCAATATCTGTATTGATGACTCCCAAGATCCCAAATGCTTTGCTAACTTCTCTCTCAATCTGTCCTGTCACCTACAAAGATCAATGAGCAAAGAACCCCCAGGCCACTCTGTCTTCACATTTTCTTTGGAACTGTACTGTTAAGTCAATATTGCCTCTCCCTATCTCTCCTGCCAAAATGGATCACCTCACAATTCTCTGCACTAACTTCCATGCACTCCTCTGCCCATTCTGCCGGCCTATCAATCCATAAGACCATAAGACATAGGAGCTGAAGTAGGCCATTCAGCCCATTGAGTCTGCTCTGCCATTCAATGAGATCATGGCTGATCTGATAATCCTCAAGCCCACATCCCTGCCTTTCCCCATAACCTTTGATTCCTTTACCTATACAAAATCTGTCTCAGCTTTGAATGTACTTCAGGACCTAGTCCAGACAATCCTCTCCATTAAAAAATACCACAGATTCACAACTCTCTGAGAGAAGAAATTCTTCCTCATTTTTGTCTTAAACCCTTATTCTGAGATGATGCCTTCTGGTCCTAGACTCTTCCACAAGAGGAAACAATTTCCCACATCTACTCTGTCAACTCCACTAAGAATCATGCACGTTTCAATAAGGTCACCTCTCACTCTTCTTTATTTAAACCCACTCAACTTCTCGTCATAAGACAGTCCCTCCTTACCTGGCATCAGCCTAGTAAACCTTTTCTGGACTGATTCCAATGCTAGTGTACCTTTCCTTAGATAGTCTTCCAGTTGACTAGTGTGTTGTACAGTTTTAGCAAAACCCCCCTTAGATATTCAGTCCCTTTGAAATAAAGGCCAACATTCCATTTGCCTCCCCTTTAATTGGCATCTTCCTCATTGTTTGCCACATCTCCAAGTTTTGCAAGATCGGCCAACTTCAAAATGTTACTCTGCATTCCAATATCATTACTTGAGATTCCACCACCTCAGGATTCCTGGCCAATTTTGTTAATTCTGAACGCAGAATGCCAATATGCCGAGGTTTGGCTTGGGAACATTTGAGCTTACCATCACATAACAATTTAAATACTGGACCACAGCTCTGGGGAAAATCAGGGACTAGCCATGCATCGCCAATAGAGGAAAGAAGTGGCTTCACCCAGCTGTCTTTGGCTGCCTCAAGAGAGCCACAGAGCTGGGAAATCACTTTTAATGTATAGAAGCAGGGGGTGGGATTTTGGGGAGGGGGTCTTAAATACTAAAAGGAAACAAGAACAGATAGAATGGGGTAGAACAGAGGAAAGAACTCTGTTCCTGGGGCTGGCCCTTTGAAAGAGCTACCTAATTAATTGCATTTCCCCTCCTTTTCCCCATTGACCTGAAAAGTTCTCCTCTTCAGCTACTTATCTCAGGATGAAATAGGGTAAGATAAACTAACTGACTTACCATAGCAACAGCTAATGCTATAATGGTGATAATTCCAACAGGTACGAGCACCATCCCCATACTTGACTTCCCAGTTTCCATGTCAGGCAGTGGAATGCCAGTAGTGTTGGTGACATTTGTCAGCATGGTTATCATCTGCAAAGCCATCTTGTCTGTTACATTGTTCTGGTCTGTGTCAGGTGTCAAGCTGAGGAAGGAGGCCGCCATGTTGGATGCGTTGTAGCTGACTTCGAATATTAGCAGCGACATCCTCTGGAGTTGCGCTGGCCCTTTGCCTCTTGGTACAGCTCAGCCCGACAGACACTGAGCCGTACTGCCAGCGGTAACATTGCGGCATGGCCTCCAGCTGGCCATCACACCACTCCTAGCATTGTCAGAAACACACCATTAGAGGGACAGAGGTAACAGCTCACCCAGCCAAAGCAAATACTCAATACGCAAGAACATGGATTACTCAAACATAGAAACATAGAAGATAGGAGCAGGAGGAGGCCATTCAGCTCTTCAAGCCTGCTCCGCTATTCATCATGATCATGGCTGATGGTCCAACTCAATAGCCTAATCCTGCTCTCTCCTATTAATCGAAGGTTTTAGAGTAGATCTGTAGCTCGGGTTATGGGTATTGAGGTTGGTTGGCTCGCCGAGCTGGTTTGTTGTTTGGCGGACGTTTCGTTACCATGCTTGGTAACATCCTCAGTGCAGCCTCCGATGAAGCGTCGGTGTGTTTTTCCGCCTGGTTTTTAAACTCTGGGGTCCGTTGAGATGGCTTGCCTCACTTCCGGTTTTCCTTTGTAGTGGAATGTATGTGGGGTCGAGTTCAATGTGTTTATTAATAGCATGCTTTTGCTCCACGACCCCATATACATTCCACTACGAAGGAAAACCGGAAGTGAGGCAATCCATCTCAACGACACCAGAGTTTAAAAACCAGGCGGGAAAACACACCGACGCTTCATCAGAGGCTGCACTGAGGATGTTACCAAGCACAGTAATGAAACGTCTGCAAAACAACAAACCAGCTCGGCGAGCCAACCAACCTCAAAACCCTCCTCTTAACCTTTGATCCCATCTGCCCTGAGTACTATATCTAGCTGCCTCTTGAATACATTCAATGCTTTGGCATCAACTACTTCCTGTGGTAATAAATTTCACAGGCTCACCACTCTTTGAGAGGAGAAACGTCTCCTCATGTCCGTCCTAAATGGTCTCCCTGGAATCCTCATACTGTGACTCCTGGTTCTGGACACACCCACCATCTACCCTGTCTAGTCCTGTTAGAATTCTGTAATTGTCTATTAGACTCCCCCCTCATTCGTCTGAACTCCAGTGAAAACAAATCCCCTTCTGCCTTACCAGCCTCATCCTCATTATTAGAGAATCATAGAACCATACAATACAGAAGAGGCCCTTGGTAACACACTGAATCAATACTGCCAAAACTACGCTAAATTTATTTCAGTCTCAATTTCCAGCACCTGGCCCATTGCCTTGAATGTTGTGACATGTCGAGTGCTTGTCCTTTATAAAGGTTGTGAGCTTACCTGCCTCCAAAACCCTTCCAAGCAGTGCATTCCAGACCCTCACCACCCTCTGGGTGAAAATCTCTTGCTTCAACTCCCTCTAAACCTCCTGCCTTTCACCATAGAAGTGTTCTCCCTCATTACTGACCTTTCAACTCAGAGGAGCAGCTGCTTTCCATTGGCCCTGTCCATATACCTCAGAAAACAGCTCTACGAGGACCCTCTAAACGTTTGCTGTTTCAAAGAACAGAGCTCGTCATAGTTAAAATGCTCCATCCCAGGCAATATCCTGGTGAATCTCCTCTGTACCCTCTCCAATGCAATCACATCCTTCCTATAGTGTGGTGACCAGAACTGCACACAGTATTCCAGCTGCCTATGAACCAAAGGCATGTACAGCTCGAACATAACCTCCCTGCTCATTGTAATCTATGTCTCAACTGAGAAAGGCAAGTGTTCCGACTTGCCATCCAACACGCTCAAATCACCTTGAGGGACTGGTTCTTTTAATGAGTTGGTTCCCAGTACCAATCCCTCCCTATCACTGTAATCTTCTCCAGCCCCATGAAACTCCAAGGTAACTGTACTCCTCGAATATCCAATTCCCTGAATTTTAATCATTCCACTATCAGTAGGTGCCTGGACCTCAAGGTCAGAACTCCTTCCCTGCACCCCTTGGCCTCCAATTCTCTCTCGTCCTTAAAGATGTTTCTTAAAATGGTGAGACATCTATCATAGCATCCCTATATGCGGCTCAGTGTCAAAATACCTCGGGAAGTTCTATTCCATTTAAGGTATGCTCTGCAGAGAAGACAAAGGCTGAGAGGAGACAATGATAGACTTTCTCAAAATCACAAGTGATGTGGTCAGTAAAAAACAGGGAGCAACTGTTTCCATTGGCAGTAAAGGTATAGTCACCATAGTCCAAGAGGACCATAGGGCCACTCTCTCAAGTCATCTGATGATGGTTTAACTTGAGGATCTCCATGCCTCAGGCGAGGGGAGAGGTAGGGGGCTGGGATGCTCTTCAGAGAATTGGTGCAGACTTGATGGGCCAAATGGCCTCTTTCCTCATGGTAGTGATTCTATGGGGTGACTGAGATGCATCAAAGTGTTCGATCAACGATGATCAATGAATGGTGGGACAGGCTCCACAGGCTGAATGGTCTATGCTTGTTCCAATGTTACTAGATGGCAGAGGGAGCAGGGTAAGCTGATTTGCATTTACAGAGAGGCAGCATGGGTTCAATAGGCCAAATGGCCTACCTCTGCACTATAATCATTCTGTGATCCTATGCTATAAATACATATTGTTGCTCCGTTCCTACAGATGGGTGAGGTGGGAAAAAACCTGACCATGATGAGTTAAACATAGGAAAGGTGGGTAGGCTGTCATTGGCAACATCCTCCAAGGGACTCAGGTTGATGCTCTGCCTTCCTCAGAACAGCCTGTGGGAAACTTTAATTTCCTTCACATGTGTTTCTGTGAATATTCCAGGGGAAAACTGAAATCAAACATGCACAAAATTTTTGTAAGTAGTCACCCACAGTCTGGGCAGTAGCCCTTGCTATCAATTAGTGTGGAGCATAGATGTAGGAACTATCAGAGTAATGTAGTGAATAGGAAGAATGAGTTTTCTGAAAGAATTTGGTGTTTATATGCTACTCTTGAACTCAATGCGTGCTGGCACGTGCAGGATGGAGTTTAACAGGGTTCTTCCAAGGTGAGTTTGTTAGCCATATCATAACATGCCAGATTTTATAGAAGCAAACAGAAGCAAAGACTGTTAAAAACAACCGGCAATTGATTCACTGGCATCTAGAAGAAAAGGATGTCACGAACTCTATCTACAAAGGATTTTAGCAAAAAACTGAATTTCTCTTTTATCTGAATGCAAAAAGCATTCACAGTGAAGTAGACAAACTGACAGCACAAATGGAGATTAAGGTTTCCACCTAGTCACCATTACTGGAACATGGTTACAAGGTGACTAAGGCTGCAAACTAAGTCTTGCAAGTCACACAACATTTTGAAAAGACCAGGCTGACTGGGAATGGGGGAGGAGGAGCCTTAACAGTAAAGGATGACATAAAACAGTAAAGAAGGGATTTGATTCAGAAGATCCAAAAATGGAATCAATATGGCCTAAAAGGGTCAAAAAATGTTGGTGGGGGGTAGTTTATAGGTCCCGAAACAGCAATTATAGAATCAGAAAAATAATTAAACAAGAAGTCATTGGAATAAAACAAAGAACTGCAGTTGCTGCAGGTCTGAAGTAGAAACAGAATTGTTGAAGAAACTCAGCAACATCTGTGCACAGAAAGCAGAGTTGGTGTTTCGAGTCCAGTGATGCTTCTTCAGAACACTTCACCTCCTGAGTTTCTCTGCTTCTGTTTCAGAAATCACTGGAGTTTGTAACAGAAATGCAACATTAAGGTATATACAGATGATACCGCCTATTGATTCCTGGCAGCACTGTGTAGCATATAGTTCTGCTTCAGAAGGTTGTAAGCTCAAGTACCACAACAGAAACCTGAGCAAATAACCCAACATAACACTCCAGTACAGCACAGAGGGAGCGCTATACTGATAGAATGCCATATTTCAGCTGAGGAACTTAACTGATGCTTTCTCTGCAATGTGAGAAAGATTTCCATCGCTTTATTTTGAAGAAGAGCAGAGCAGTGCTACTAACTGCCCTGGCCAATAATTATCCTTCATACATTAGCAGTAAAACAGATGAGATGATCTGTTTGGATATAAAAATACTTTCTGAAAGCTTTACACCTAGAAACCAACAGCATTGATCTGGTGGAAGCATAATAAACTCATTGCATCCAGCAAGAAATTATTGTGGGCAAGACGTAAAATTAAAAATGAACATGAATTAAAATTAAAACCGAAAGAACTGCGGATGCTGTAAATCAGAAACAAAAGCAGAAATTGCTGGAAAAGCTCAGCAGATCTGGCAGCAATTGTGGAGAGAAATCAGAGTTAGTGTTTCGGGTCAAGTGATCCTTCCACAGAATTTATTTATGATATTGGGAGTTTGCTGAGCATAAATTTACTGACACATTTCCTGCATTGCAGCAATGATTACATGTCAGATAGACAGTAATTCATTGGTTGTGAAATCCTTTGTGGGACAAATTGAATCTATCAAAGGCACTTAATAAATGCAACCCTTTCTTTGTTTAGATTCTGAGTGTGTGGCTTGTTTTCACTTGTACAGATAATGGCTTCTGAATATTGCTTCTTGGGCCACACATCAAGAAGTGATCCAGACCTGAAATCACATTATTGTTGAGTTACCATCTCCTCCCATCCTGTATCTCTCAGGGATCAGGGATTAAGTTGGGATGAACAGAATGTAATGAAATTTAGAAGCACCAAAAGCTTTGAATAAGTTGTTGACTGTTGTTCAAGAGCAGGTACACCATGTCTGGATTAACAAGCAGTGCATTTACTCACCAGGAGTAGTTTCACAAGCAAACAGCAAAAATGTATCAACATTCTTATCAAGTGCCAAATCATTGAATTTTGACCCCTTTCCTTAATGCAGGACTAGTCCCTACCACCAACTCCATTCTGTGCTGTGAATGTGAAAAAATCAAGTGGTACTAATTTTACGGGTCAATGAGAGAATTGTTCAACATTTAGCCTTCAAACCAACCATACTGAAAAAAACCAGAAGTTGCTGGAAAAGCTCAGCAGGTCCAGCAGCATCTGTGAAGAAAAAAGTCAGAGTTAATGTTTCGGGTCCGGTGACCCTTCCTCAGACCCTTCCCCAGTTCTGAGGAAGGGTCACCGGACCCGAAATGTTAACTCTGATCTTTTTCTTCA